TTTTCTGAGACAATATACTAACATAAACTCAAAATGGATTAAAGATATAAACGTAAGAATGCAACCATTAAATTCCTAAAAGAAAACATAGTCAGAACACTCTGACATAAACCATAGAAGTATTTTTTTGGATCTATCTTCTAAGGAAAGGAAACAACAGGATAAATAAACAAATAGGACCTAACTACACTTAAAAGCTATCACACAGAAAAGGAAATCATCAACAGAATGACAACACAACCTCTCAAATTAAAAAAAAAATGTGGAAACTACTTGATCAATTAGGGGTTAACGTGCAAAATGTATAAACAGGTCATACAACTCAATATCAAGAAAATCCAAGCAAACATTTAAAAATCGGCAGAAGACTTAAATAGATATTTCTCCAAAGAAGATATGTAGGAGACCAACTGGGACAAGAAAAATGCTCAATACTGGCATTTATAAGAGAAATGTAAGTAAAAATCAAAATGAGATACCACTTTACACCTACCAGAATGGCTATCGTCAAAAAGACCACAAGTAACAAACATTGGAAAGGATGTGAGAAAGGGAAGCCAGAATACACTGTTGGTGGGGTTGTGAACTGGTACAACCACTAATGAAAACAGTATGCAAGTTTTCCAAAATATAAAAATAGGACTACCATATGATCCAGCAACTCCAAGGTTGGTTATATATCTAAAGATCACAAATGCATTATTTTGAAAAGATACATGCATCCCGATGGTCACAGCAGCATCATTTACAGTAGCCAAGATATGGAAACAGCCTAAGTGAACATCAACAGATAAATAGATTAAAAAAAAAAAAGTTGGTATACACATATGCTTTGAAATATTACTCAGCCATAAAAAAGAATGAAATTTTTCCATTTGCAACAACATTAGTGAACTTAGAGAGCATTATGCTTAGTGAGTAAAGTTTGAAAGAGAAAGGCAAATATTTTATGTCAGCACACATGTGAAATCTGAAAAATAAGATGAATGTATGTAACAAAACAGACTCACAGATGTAGAGAACAAACTAGCAGTCACCAGTAGAGAGAAGCAAATAGAGAGGGGCATAACAGGGGATGGGATTAAGAAACAAACTTTTATGTATAGAATAAATAAGCAACATGGATATATTATACAACATGGGAAAACGAAGTCGTTATTTTGTAATAACTTTAAAGAAAGTATAATACATAAAATATTGAATCACTATGTTGTATATCTGAAACTAATATAATATTGTAAATCAACTATGTTACAATAAAAGAAGAAAAAGAAAAATAGATGGCTTCCCTTTCCATCACTGAAGAGTTAAAATTTCATCAGTTTAACTGATAAAGACATAATCTGAAAATATCAGTGTAACTGAAAAATAATTTATTGGGAAAGTTTGAGATACCATGTCTTTCCCCACCTTTCAGTCACTTTGAGACATAGCTTCTCCTGTCGCTTTTTAGTCTGTCATTGTCAGAAATGATGGACTGAAGGATGCACACCAGGGAAGTGAAATTATAGAAAGAGCAACCGTTGAAGATTCAGTACAGGAGAGAAGGCTGAGATTTCATTAAATGCACCCACAGCACAGAAGCACCACAATACACACAGCTAAACACAGAGGACATGTACTGGTCATGAAGATCTAAGTATCCCTGGAAAGACATAATTACTAGATCACTAATGAAAAAGTCTGCACAGATGAAAATATGTACAAATGTCAACATGGTGGTTTAGTCGGTAAGTTGTGTCAGACTCTTGCGATTCCGTGGACTGTAGTCTGCCAGGCTCCCCCATCCATGGGATTCTCCAGGCAAGAATACTGGAGTGGTTTGCCATTTCCCTCTCCAGGGGATCTTCCCGACCCAGGAATCGAACCCAGGTCTCCTGCATTGCAGGCAAATGATTTACCAACTGAGCTATGGTGGTGGTGGTTTAGTCGCTAAGTCCTGTCTGACTCTTGCGATCCCATGGACTGTAGCCTGCCAGGCTCCTCTGTCCATGGGATTCTCCAGGCAAGAATACTGGAGTGGGTTGCTATTTCCTTCTCCAGGAAGCTGAGCTATGAGGGAAGCCCAAATTTCAGTCCAGTTGTTTCTAAGCTCTTAAGGAAAAGTTAAGTTTTGTCAAGGCCCCTGTTAGAAAATGTTTTACCCCTGATAATTTTGGGGAGACTGACAATTCACACAATTTCCCTGCCATCATATCTCTTCAGATTTCCTCAAATAACTTTGCCTAATGTAAACTGCTCTCACCTCAAGGATGAAGAAACAGGTTCTCTGAGAGTCAGTACTTAAGGCAAGGACATACAGACCACAGGTATTAGGGCTCACATTGGAACCCACATACTTGGTCTTGGACTTTTCCTTCCAGCAAAATATTCAGTGCAACTAGGTACACCAGTATTTACTGTACCATTAAGTTTCATAATGCACCCTAATCAGTGGCTTTCAAAGTAAATATTAATATAGTTAATAATTATAGAACCTGTTTATTTAATTGGGGGTCAGAAAACTTTGGTTCTGTAATCTTTTGAGCTGAGTGAACCTAGGTCTCCATGGCCACTTTAATCAGGACAAACCTAAGCACTGATTTGTTGCCTAGCTCAAATGGCTCTAACTCTGATAGAGCTAACTCAGTTTATTTTGAATAAAGTAAGCTCAGTCATTCTCCGTTAGCAACTATTTTATTCTTTGAGAAAGGAGTGTCTTGCTCTGTACCTCGTTCTTCTTGCTAGGGTTTATGAATGGCAATTCTTTTTATGGCATGAAAGAATGACAAATAATTGGAGCTCTGAGATCAACTCACCTGATCTTAAATTTTTTCAAGTGAACTGCAGATGGTGACTGCAACCATGAAATTAAACTGTCATCAATTCATTAATACCAGAACTTATCTGAGAATTCTGCATTTTTCATGCTCAATTTAGTGATATCGCACATCAACTGAAACTCCAATTGATGTCCAAATGATCAGAAGGGAATCAGCATTAAACCCTGCACAACCATAGATGAATGCACCTTGCCTTGACAAGAGTTGTGAAGTAGAGTTGGATTTTTTCTTTTAAATACTAGAAGCTATTTTTAGAGAAGTTTTAGGTTCTCACCCAAGCTAGGTGAAATGTATACAATTCCCACATGTCCATTACCATACCCAAAAACCCTCCTATCAGCAGCCTTCACCAGTGTGGTATATTTGTTTCACTCAATGAACTGACACAGCATCATCAACCAAAGTCCATGGTTTCTAAAAGTTTCATCTTCTGCGTTGTGTTCTATGTTTTTTGACAAAACCATAATAACTTGAATAGATCATTGTAGTATCAAACAGAATAGTTCCATTACCCTAAAAATCTGTGATTCACTTCTTCATTCTTCCCTCCTACCAAACTCCTGGCAACCACTGATTTTTTTCACTGTCTCCATGATTTTGCCTTTTTCAGAATGTTGTATGGTAGAAATCATAGTATGTAGTCTTCAGATAGTTTCTCTCAAGAAGTAATTCTCATAAGGTTTTTCCATGAGTTTTCATGGTTTGTCAACTCATTTCTAATAACAAAATAATGTTCAATTATTTTGAACATTTTATGCATTTACCTACTGAAATAGGTAAATGTAAACAGTGCTGCAGTTTATGCATTTACCTACTGAAGGATTCTTGGTAGCTTCCAGGTTTTGGCAATTATAAATAAAGTAACTATGAAAATTCATGTGAGGGTTTTTATGTGGACAGAAGTTTTCAACTCATTGGGTTAATACCAAGGAGTGTGACTGCTGGATCATTTCATAATCATATATTTTGTTTTGTAAAATCTATCAACTGACTTCCAAAGTGACTGTACTGTGAAAAATTGTACACAACAATAATAGTCCTTGCTGCTTCCAAGTCATCAACAATATTTGGTTTTGTCAGTGATTTGGATTTTACTAATTGTTATCAGGGTGTAATGGTATCTCATGGCTGTTATTGTTTGCAAGTCCCTAGTGATATATCATGTTGAGCGTTTCCACATGCTTATTTGCCATGCATATATCTACTTTGGTGAGGTATCCATTCAGATCACTAGCTCTTTTTTCTTCTGACTGCACTGTGCTGTCCAATGAAACTTACCCAACCAGAGATCAGTCTCCTACCCCCTGATGTGGAAACTCAGAGTCTCAACCAGTGGACCACCTGGGAAGTAGTTTGCCCATTTTTAAAATGGGCTTGTTATATTTCTGGTTGTTGAGTTTTAGAGTTCTCAGTACACATTGAACAGGCTTCCCAGATGGTGGTAATGGTAAACAATCTGCCTGCCAATGAGGGGTCCTAAAAGGTATAGGTTCAATCTCTGGGTTGGGAAGATCCCCTGGAGGAGGGCAGGGCAACCCACTCCAGAATTCTGGCCTGAGAAATCCCATGGACAGAGGAGCCTGGTGGGTGACAGGCTATGGGATCGCAGAAGAGTTGGACATGGCTGAGCAATTAAACGACAACAATCACTGATCTCAATATTTCCTACAGGGATGAAACTGCTTCTGAAAACAATTCCTCCACCTTCAGATGCAGCCCAGGGAGCTCTTCTACTCTGATTCCCTCTGTCCTCTATGCATATGAGGAGCACGTGACATCTTTGCCTTCTTTCTTTCCTCCCTTATATGCAATATGCACTAAAGAAGGAAAGCTTGAGCTGGCTTATCAAATTATGTGTTTTATTAGGAATATGCATAGCAGAAATAGCTCTGTATTGTACACGCAGTAATCATCTTGTTCTATATTGTATGGAGCACATAGTACTATGCACATAGAACTACTCAATATTATATAATTATTTGCATATCTGGTGGCCAATATGGATGTTACAGAGTATGAAGGACAGCAGATACATTTCTGCAGTGAAATTACACAATAAATGAGGAGAGGTCAGAACAGGCACTCTCAGAAAAGATGATGGGAAGCAGGTGAACGATGCTGCAGATGAGAGGGAGTTGAAGACAACATCACTGAAGAAATCAGAGGATCTAACATTCCTCACATAGGAATGAAACAGAGCTGGTAAAAAGGTGGCACAGAAACTAACCCATTGACAACTGGGGTGGTGTCGAGGTCCTTTGAGTCAACCACAGATTTTAAGGTAAATTTTTGTAAAATTGTGGTCAGGAATAAAAACAGCTCCATGTGGGCCAGGCCCTCTCCCACACAAATCCGTTTCCCTGGAAACAACAAACAGAGGGTACATACTCCTTGAACTCTGTCTTTCTGGCTGTCAGAAAGAGACTATGTAGTATCCATTTGACGAATGTTTGAATGGATGGATGGAATGGCTGCATGGACAAATGGGAAAAGGGTGAACACATATGCTATCCACCTAACATCTTATCATAACAAATATCATTCCTTCAAGAAATATTTATTGACTATTCCAAGCACTTGATTAAATTATTCATGCATTATAACTGCAATTTCATATTTTCAAATTTCTACCCATCTTTTTCTAGAAACTCACATATATTGGCTGTATTTTCTGATCCTAGTCTAGTAGTCCCACGTGTTTCTTTTCATTCTTCACAGCCTCTGTTCTCTGCTCTAAGTATACCTACTCTTCATCAAACTCTAACACACCTTGAAGTTTCAAGTTTTATAACACAAGATTCTCTTTGGCTAAGTAGTAGTTCTCTGATATTTTCAGCTCCCAGCTCAAGTTTTATTTCTAAATGGAAAGAACTGGTCACCTCTCCAAAGCTCCAGTAAGCCAGCCCAATAATGAGGATGTTTCATGGCGAGGGAAAGTGCATAGGTATTGGGCTGCTGCCCCTCATCATGGGCATGAGCATTTCTACCAGCCCCAGGGTAGGTACTATGTAACTCCCAACTGATCCTTAGAAGGTATCCTGTCCTCTAAAGTACTGAATGGGGGGAAAAATTATTACCTGTTGAGAAAGCCATGAAATAGTCACTCTTCCTAAAGTTGCCACTCTCATCCAGAAAGTGGCCAGGGTCAAACACCTCTGGGTTGGGAAATTCTTTGTCATCATGTAGATGATGAAGATAAACTGAACTATGAAAAAGTCACAGAGCTGCAAGAACTGCTGCAAATCATTTAGTACAATCTTATGATCAATAATGAAGAATCCTCAGTCCAAAGAAGGGCAGTGACATTTTGAGGCAGAAAGAACAAGCAATAAAGAATAAGTTTAAGACTAGTGGCAATGATGCTGCTAAGTGAACAGCCTCTGAAATACTAGGTATTTCTAGGTATTTCCAGACTTTATGAACCATTCTGCTTATCACATTTGGACAGTGTTGTCTGACCCCACAAGCTGCTTTACTTTATCATTTCAATTTTCACTCATCTTATATGTGGATTATGGTTGAATATGGGAAGTCTCTATTGGACTTGACAGGTCTGGAGTTATCTGTTCATAGTGGTTTTGTAAATGGATATATGATCTTTTATGATAATAAGTATGGCAACAAATGGGGCTTCCCAGGTGACTCAGTGGTACAAAACTTGCCTGCCAACTCAGGAGACTTAAGAGACACAGGTTCAATCCCTGGGTCTGGAAGATGCCCTGGAGGAGGGCATGGCAATCCACTCCAGTATTCTTGCCTGGAGTTATCCCATGGACAGAGGAGCCTAGTGAGCTAGTCCACAGGGTCACAGAGTCGGACACAACTGAAGCAACTTGACTTGCATGCATGGTAACAAATATTAGTGTTTACCGTTGCCGTGAAGACTGTTTACCGTTGCCATAATAACATACGGTAGGGCTTCCCTAGTAGCTCAGTGGTAAAGAATCCACCTGTCAATGCAGGGACACGGGTTCAATCCCTGCCCTGGGAAGATCCCACATGCTGGAATCATGGAGCAGCTAAGCCCAAGCGCTACAAATACTGAGCCTTTGCTCTAGAACCTGGGAACCACAACTGTTGAGCCCACGCACTGCAACTAGTGCCCTAAAGCACGTGTTACACAACAGGAGAAGTCACGGCAAAATGAGAAGCCAGTGCACTGCAACGAGGATTAACCCCCACTCACCACAGCTAGAGAAAAGCCCACAGGTAGCAACAAAGACAAAGCACAGCCAAAAATAAAGAAATAAAATTATTTTAAAAAAATATGTGGTAGCTTTCATTACAGATTAATCCTAGATTTGAGACACAGGAACTATGATAAAACTAGAAACATCATTTTACACCAATTCAGCTTAGTATCATTAATTTAAACAAGTTTTACTAGCAAAGTTAAAACTGTCGGGCGAATGATTAAGAAGTGCTATTCTCTCAAAGCTCTAATGTACCATGCAATAGATTTTTATGTATTGAGTATAAAAAAAAGACCTGTTCCCTGGAGACATCTGGAAGGTACCACTTTATCATGTGAACAACACTGCATAACCAACAATAATGGGGTAAGTGACAGTATAAGCCTTCACCTGGTTTATGAGGAAAAAGAAACTATAAAGGTTATACTAAGAAAAGTTTAAGTATAGCCTGTACATTAAATAATATTATTGTTTCAGTGATAACTCCAGTGTACACATGCTATTATTCCTCTGTGTACAATAATCACTGTTATTGAGGTATGCATACTGAAGTAGGGAGCTTTTAATGAATATTGGATATAGATAGATAAGCATTTATCAATGGAAGAAATTTTCACATATGGCCATATAGTGAAGTTGTTCTGTTTTATAAATGATTTAAATTGAATTCTGTATTAAGTAAAACATCCTGTTATGGTCTATCAAATATATGTTGTCCATGCTCCTGCTCAGTCATGTCCGACTCTTTTTGACCCCATGGACTGTAATCTGCCAGGCTCCTCTGTCCATGAGATTTTCCAGGCAAGAATACTGGAATGGGTTGCCATTTCCTCCTCCACGAGATCTTCCTGACTCAGGGATTGAAATGGTATCTCCTGCATTTCCTACATTGGCAGGTGGATTCTTTTATCACTGAGCCACAGGGAAACTTCTCTAATCTGATAAAAAAAAAATTCTAACAAATATACATAAAACATCATTCCTAATAGTGAGATGTTAACTTCCACTTTCCTTCATATCAGAAATGAAACAAGGATAACATGAAGATATTAGCCCAGATAGCAGGATAATATATATAGAAATTGCTATTAACTAGAGATGCTTTCAAAATGACTTTAAATTTAGCAAGGTTGTTACATATAAGGTCATCCAAATGATAAAATCAATTATATATTTTGATATTCCACATAAAAATGGAAAATGCATTTTAAAATGCTTATAACAATAACAAAAAACACCTTGGAAAGACAAAAAATATGCAAACCACTGCCTGAGAAAAATTAAAGAAAGCCTTTAAAATAGAAAGGCTATATCATATCCAATAAATGAAAAATTCAATGTGTCATGATATTAAGTCTTTCCAAACTGATCTAGCATGTCACTCTGATAAAAAATCCCAGCAGAGTGTTCTGGTAAATTGACAAATTGATACTAATGTTCATTTGGAAATGTGGACAGTTATGGTTAGCCCAACAACATAAAAGAAGCAGAACAAATTTGGAAGTCTTGCACTGCTACCTGTCAAAATCTGTTATAAAGCTTTACAGACTAAACTGGAAACAACACACAACCCAACAAGCCACCACACACATGACTATTTTTACTTCTCTCACCTTGTGTTCATCGAGGGTTGCCTCCATACTGTGTAAATGAGAACTTCAAGACCAATGAGGTCAGTAAAAGAGAAAACAATCTTACCTTGGGGATGAAGTAGTTTCTGAATGTAATGTCACAGGTCACAGCATGGGGCAGGTTGGTGGGGACCAGGTCAGTGTATCTCTGGATCTCGTGGATCATAGCATCCGTGTAGGGCATGTGGCTCCTGTCCTGCATGCAGGGGATCCGGTGTCTGCCAATGACACGGACAATCTCTTCCTGGACCTTAGCTGATAAGGAAGGTAAGGAAGATTGATGAAGAAAGAGGAAAATTCACACCACATTCCACACCAATTCAGGGATACATGAGACACTATGATGGTGTCCCAGTATCATTATACACATTAACTATATGACCAGAAATGGAACTAAACTGAGCGAGATAATGGCCATAATACAGACACATAAAAGTCTCTTACAAGCCTGGCTTAAGATACATCTATACATCCTTCTATATTAGCATACATGATAAAACAAAGAGAAATGATGAAATGTTTCAAATATAAACAGAATATAAAGTCAAGAAATTATAGTCCTTGAAGAAAGAAACAAGACTCAAATATTAATTTTATATCAGAATAATATGGGTTGAAAAGTTAAATTATAATATGTGTGTTTTGTGTATTTGTGTATTATGCGCGTGCAATTTGCAATGATACTCAGGTCATTCTCAAGCTGTCAAATGCCACCACCTTCAGCATTCTAGCAGTTTCTTCTGAAATTCGTATCCTATTCTAAATAATTACTCTCCATTTTTATTTCTCACTCACAGATTCTTAAACAATATGACATCTTGGTATGAGAGTTGAGAATTTACATCTCCATCCTTCCTCATACAAAATCACACACACACCACACACACATACACACCCCCATAATCTATTTCCCCAATATATTTACGCCACAAATTTTGATGGTATATTCATTGTACCATCATTCTACAATGCTCTCTGGTAAGACAATTATGAGCATGCTTCATATTTGGTACTTTCTTGGACTTAACCACATCTCTTTAGTTCAATTCATAAAATTCTGTACCCTGATTCAGGATTATTTCCAAAAGCTTAGGTAGGTGTTCAAAATTCCTAATCATAATAACCCTATTATTCAGAAGCCACAGAGAGTCCATCACCTCTCTTTTGTTCTTGGTATCTCCCCAAACACCTGCTTTATTCACCTAACCCATTTAGAAATGGATATTTTCCAGGCCTTCTGTCTAGCAACAACACTGACAGTTTCACTCTCCTTCATGAGGTTTCCAAACCCTGGAGCCCATGACTTCCTCTGACATGACTTCAGGCATTTGGATGAGAAAGGGGAAAGAGTGGGTAAAAATTTGTTAAACATACAAGTCTGAAAATACCCTTTTAAAAATTAATACCCAGTTTGATATTTGCTCTTGAATTATGATGTGGTTGGAAACTCTTTTATCTAGAACCTGCTACATCTCTCTGAATTTTTTTGTGATTTTTTTTTCTCTTTTATCCAGGTATGCTGAAATATCATGACCCAATGTATTGGGGTGGATGTTCTTATTTCATTCACTCAGTGAGACCTGTTGAGAGAATTTTCTGTCTACATGGCAAAACTTGGAAGTCTTTTCTCCAGAGTGCTCACTCACTGGAGTTTTCCTCTGGCTGCTGAATTTCAGAAAGCAGGATGGGAAAGGAGCTAAGAATCTCTGAATTCAAGAAGTGGATTCTTCCCTAACCTTTCCTCTAAGCTGTGACCTTACTCTTTTCCCCTGTCTCTGCCCAGTGTCCTAAGTAGGGCCTCTTAGATTCCCTTTCTCTAGACAGTAAACCTTTCATCCTATTGGAGAAACAGAGTTACTTGAAAGGAGTTATCAAAACTTGTGGTTGGCAGAGTTTCCTTTATCAGCCTATGTCTCCCTCTACCTTTTTTGAAACTAGGTACTTCCAAACGTAGCCTTAAGGACTTGTAAGAACATAAATGACTTCTCCTTGTTTGATAACACCACTCTAATGGCAGAAAGTGAAGAGGAACTGAAGAGCCTTTTGATGAGGGTGAAAGAGGAGAGTGAAATGCTGGCTTAAAACTCAACATTCAAAAAACATTCATGGCTTCTGGTCCCATCACTTTATGGCAGTGATTAGATAGCATCGCCGACTCAATGGATATGAATTTAAGCAAACTCTGGGAGATAGGGAAAGACAGGCGAGTCTGGAATGCTGAAGTCCCTGGGGTCACTAAGAGTTGAATACGACTTAGTGACTGAACAACAACCACAAAATTATGACATTTCCTCTTTTGACATTTAGGCTATAACTTCATCCTCTCTACTGACTTCATTGTCAGCCCTCAATATGCTCTCTGTGATTCAAAAATTTGTTGAATATTTGTTGGCTGCTTCCTGACTCCAACTTAGAAAGGCTAATTCTCATAGGTTATAGGTTATAATCATTTCAGTGGTATTCTGACAAACAAGAAAATATGTGCTTCTAAACATAGCCATAGCCTTTAAAAGTTAATTTCTATGTACCTATGGACACCTTATCTTTGACAAAGGAGGCAAGGATATACAGTGGAGAAAAGACAACCTCTTTAACAAGTGGCGCTGGGAAAACTGGTCAACCACCTATAAAAGAATGAAACTAGAACACTTTCTAACACCATACACAAAAATAAGCTCAAAATGGATTAAAGATCTAAACATAAGACCAGAAACTATTAAGCTCCTAGAAAAAACATAGACAAAACACTCTCCAACATAAACCACAGCATGATCCCCTATGACCCACCTCCCAGTGTATAGGAAATAAAAGCAAAAATAAACAAATGGGACCTAATTAAAATTAAAAGCTTCTGCACAACAAAGGAAACTATAAGCAAGATGAAAAGACCACCTTCAGAATGGGAGAAAATAATAGCAAATGAAGCAACAGACAAAGAATTAATCTCAAAAATATACAAGCAACTCCTGCAGCTCAATTCCAGAAAAATAAAAGACCCAAGCAAAATGTAGGCCAAAGAACTAAACAAACATTTCTCCGAAGAAGACATACAGATGGCTAACAAACACATGAAAAGATGCTCAACATCACTCATTATCAGAGAAATGCAAATCAAAACCACAATGAGGTACCCTGTCACGCCTGTCAGAATGGCTGCTATCAGAGTCTACAAGCAATAAATGCTGGAGAGGGTGTGGAGAAAAGGGAACCCTCTTACACTGTTGGTGGGAATGCAAACTAGTACAGCAACTATGGAGAACAGTGTGGAGATTCCTTTAAAAACTGGAACCAGAACTGCCATATGACCCAGCAATCCCACTGCTGGGCATACACACTGAGGAAACCAGAATTGAAAGAGACACGTGTACCCTAATGTTCATCGCAGCACTGTTTATAATAGCCAGGACATGGAATCAACCTAGATGTCCATCAGCAGACGAATGGATAAGAAAGCTGTGGTACATATACACAATGGAATATTACTCAGCCATTAAAAAGAATACATTTGAATCAGGTCTAATGAGGTGGATGAAACTGGAGCCCATTATACAGAGTGAAGTAAGCCAGAAAGAAAAACACCAATACAGTATACTAACACATATATATATAATTTAGAAAGATAGTGACAACAACCCTGTATGCAAGACAGCAAAATAGACACAGATGTACAGAACAGACTTTGGGACTCTGTGGGAGAGGGCGAGGGTGGAATGATATGGGAGAATGGCATTGAAACATGTAAATTATCATATGTGAAACAAATCGCCGTCCAGGTCTGATGCATGATACAGGGTGCTCGGGGCTGGTGCACTGGGATGAGCCAGAGGGATGGGAAAGGGAGGGAGGTGGGAGGGGCCTTCAGGATGGGGAACACATGTACACCCATGGCGGATTCTTGTCAATGTAAGGCGAAACCAATACAATATTGTAAATTTTTTAATTAATTTTTAAGTTAATTTCTAACAAAAAATTGATGCTTTTGAACTGTTGTGTAGGAGAAGACTCTTGAGAGTCCCTTGGACTGCAACGAGATCCAACCAGTTCATCCTAAAGGAGATCAGTCCTGGGTGTTCATTGGAAGGACTGATGCTGACGCTGAAACTCCAGTACTTTGGCCACCTCTTGAGAAGAGTTGACTCACTGGAAAAGACCCTGATGCTTGGAGGGATTGGGGGCAGGAGTAGAAGGGGATGACAGAGAATGAGACGGCTGGATGGCATCACCGACTCAATGGGTGTGAGTTTGAGTAAACTCCGGGAGTTGGTGATGGACCGGGAGGCCTGGTGTGCTGCGATTCATGGGGTCGCAAGGAGTCGGAGGTCTTTTTGAAAGATAAAATTCTTGACCCCTTTGGCAACAACCATTATTCTGGAAAAAACTTATGGATTAATACAATTTCTTTACATACACATCTTAAGCTAATTTATTATCAATCTAACTCTTTAGAGGACTTCTTAGATTGTTGAAATTGCATCAGGTGACCTCACTAAATTTCTGATTTCCAATCTCTTTAATAAAGAGAGCTTCCAGTTTCCCAACCCTGGTTTCTTTCTTTCTTTTTTTCTTTTTTTGATTTTTGGCAGCTCTGTCCACAGCATGTGGGGCCTTAGTTTCCTGAGCTGGGTTTGAATCAGTACTCCCTGCATTGGAGGTTGAGTTATAACCACTAGACCAACGGGGAAGTCCTTGGACCATGGCTCTAGAACACTGCATTTTCAGCATGTAGGGACATCAGAGTGGTCTTTCCATAATCAAAACCAATATGCAGCTTGAGGCCAATTCATGCTGGCCGTGCTTGCTACACATGACCTCCTATGAAAGTCAGGTGCTTAATATCTTCACATATTATGTAAAGACATCACATTACTATCCCTTCATTAAACCTGGGGAAAAAAATTAAGCTGCTCAGTCAGAGATTTAAGTAATTCTCTAAGAGAAACCAGGTAGAATACATTCAAGCATCTTTCTCTTATCTCTTCTGCAGTCACCCTGTCCACTTCAGCAGGAGGAGGAGCCCATATCTCAGTGTGATGCTCATCGTCTCTATCCCAGCTGCAAACAAATCCAATACAGTGTTTGCCAAGTTTTCAACCGTATACTCCAGTTCTTGACTGTGCTTTTCCTAGGAATAGTTTAATTAAAAAGTTACAAAGCATACAAAAAAGGAGGAATTATGGGCCAGAATTAGCAAAAAAATAAGTTGACACAAATCATTCCTGAGGAATTCCAGATATGGACTGACTAAACAAAATCTTTAAGATACATGTCTTTAATATGCTTAAATAGCTAATGAAAATCATCAAGAACTAAAGAAAATCTGAAAAGTGTATGAACAAGTATAGAATAATAAGAAAGGTACTGTAGAAATAAATCAAACAGAATTTTGGAGCTAAAAATCACACTACCTGTCCATTTTTAAATTTACCGGAAAGTTTGAACAGTAGGCTATGGGAAATCCAAGAAAGAAACAGGAAACATGAAGCAGAATAAAAATTTCCAGTGTGATTATCAGAAAGAAAAAGGAATAAAGAAAAATGAATAGAATCTAAGGACCCATGGCACTCAATCAATTGTACTAACATCCATTTTATGAGATCCCAGAAAAGAGTTAGGGAAGGAACAGAGAATAAGTATTTGAATAAGAATGACTGAAAACTTCCAACATTTTATGAAGTACATGAATCTAGAAATCCAGAAAGCTAAACAAACTTCAAGAGGAATGAAACCAAACAGACTCACTGTAAGGCATATTTTTTTTCCATTTATTTTTATTAGTTGGAGGATAATTACTTTACAATATTGTAGTGGTTTTTGCCATACATTGACATGAATCAGCCATGGATTTACATGTATTCCCCACCCTGATCCCCCCTTCCCCTCCCTCTCCACCCGATCCCTCTGGGTCTTCCCAGTGCACCAGCCGCAAGCACTTGTCTCATGCATCCAACCTGGGCTGGTGATCTGTTTCATATTTTAATCAGACTGTCAAAAGCCAAAGCAAAAGAGAGAATGTTCAAAGCATCATGAGAATAGTAACTTGGCATGCACAAAGGATCATCATTAGGATAACTGCTCATTTTTTCCACAGACACTGTAGAGGCCAAATATCAATGGAAAGATATATTTAAAATCTTAAGTGTAAATACGTCAACCAAGAATTGTGTATTTGGCAAAACCATCCCCCCATAAATTAGGAGACATAAGACATCCCCAAATTAAAAGCTAAGGGGTTCCAGTTAACAAAACCAAAGGACAAGATGATAATTCAAAGCCAGATTGACAAAGTTCCTTGTTAAAAGTAACTATGTAGGTAAATGGAAAAGCAAAAGCTACTGTATTCTAATATAAAAGCCTCATTTCATTTCCCATATTATTTAAAAGAAAAAATCATGAAACAATCATTATATGAGTCTAGTATATGATTCTAGGCACAAAATATAAAGATGTGATTTTGTGACACCAATGAAATAAAGGGGGATGAAGCTGGATGGGAGCAGAGTTAATGTAAATGATTTGAAGCTATTGAGGAATCAGTTCATACTGAATTGTTATGAATTTAGAATGTTAACAGTAATCTCTTTTATAAGTACTAAGAAATTAATTTTATTTTTTTTTATTTTTTTCCATTTATTTTTATTAGTTGGAGGCTAATTACTTTACAACATTGCAGTGGTTTTTGTCATACATTGAAATGAATTAGCCATGGATTTACATGTATTCCCCATCCCGGTCCCCCCTCCCACCTCCCTCTCCACCCGATCCCTCTGGGTCTTCCCAGTGCACCAGGCCCGAGCACTTGTCTCATGCATCCAACCTGGGCTGGTGATCTGTGTCACCCTAGATAATATACATGTTTCGATGCTGTTCTCTTGAAACATCCCACCCTCGCCTTCTCCCACAGAGTCCACAAGTCTGTTCTATTACTCAGCCATTAAAAAGAATTCATTTGAATCAGTTCTAATGAGATGGATGAAACTGGAGCCCATTATACAGAGCGAAGTAAGCCAGAAAGATAAACACCCATTACAGTATACTAACACATATATATGGAATTTAGAAAGATGGTAACGATAACCCTATATGCAAAACAGAAAAAGAGGCCCGGATGTATAGAAATTAATTTTAAAACACACAAAAAATTTGGAAGGAAATAAAAAAGCTACATTAGAAAGAGATCAAACAAAAATAAGCCATATTTAAGGAACTAAGAAACAAAAATTATAAAATACATTAGAGCAAAAAATTATAGAGCAGAAATAAATTCTTCAATATGAGTAATTACTTTAATCGATTGAAACTCATGGTGTAAGACAGATATTGAAGGAATAAGATTTTAAACTGTGCATCTAAATATTCCACTACATATTCATAATATATCTATACTAGTATAGAATATAATTTAGCCATAAAAGAAGGAAATCCTGATGTCTGTGACAACATGGATGGGCCTTGAAGTTATGCTAAGTGAAATAAATGAGACACACAAGACAAATTACCATATGATCAAATTTATATGTGAAATATTTTAAAGACTTGATCTTATAAATAGAGAGGATATATTGGTGGCTGCAAGAGTTGGGAGGAGAGATAAAAATGAATGAAGGGAATCAAAGATGCAAATAGTCCAGTTATAAAATAAATAAGTCCTGGTGATGTAATATACAGCATGATGACTATAGTTAATGACATATTCCCTATTGAATTGCTAAGAGATCAAATTCTAAGATTTATAAGAAAAAATCTATAACTATGTGTGACAATGTTAATTTTATACATTGTAGTCATCATTTTTAATGTATGCATATGTTGAATCATTATGTGGCACTATAATCTATAACTAATATGTTATATGTCTACTATTCTCAACAAAAAACCTTGTATGTGGTACAAGATGTTGTACATTTGAGATGCCAAAACACATATACATTGAATGAGAAAGAGGGAAGGAGATTTTGCAAATTATGAGTAGCCAAACAAAGCAAGACTGGCTATAATAATGTTAGAAAAAAATTTTATCAAAAATAGTTTAAAGGGACCAAATAAGAATGGGGTGTTTTATACTGGACTAAGAAAGGTGATAATAAAGCTTAACACTCAGAAAACTAAGATCATGGCAAACTGGCCCCATCACTTCATGGCAAATAGATAGGGAGACAGTGGAAACAGTGTCAGACTTTATTTTGGGGGGCTCCAAAATCACTGCAGATGGTGACTGCATCCATGAAAATAAAAGACTCTTACTCCTTGGAAGGAAAGTTATGACCAACCTAGATAGCATATTAAAAAGCAGAGACATTACTTTGCCAACAAAGGTCCATCTGGTCAAGGCTCTGGTTTTTCCAGTGGTCATGTATGGATGTGAGAGTTGGACTGTGAAGAAAGCTGAGTGCCGAAAAATTGATGCTTTTGAACTGTGGTGTTGGAGAAGACTCCTGAGAGTCCCTTGGACTGTAAGGAGATCCAACCAGTCTGTCCTAAAGGAGATCAGTCCTGGGTGTTCATTGGAAAGACTGATGCTGAAGCTGAAGGTCCAATACTCTGGCCACCTCATGCGAAGAGTTGACTCATTGGAAAAGACCCTGATGCTGGGAGGGACTGGGGGCAGGAGGAGAAGGGGATGACAGAGGATGAGACGGCTGGATGGCATCACCGACTCGATGGGTGTGAGTTTGAGTAAACTCCGGGAGCTGGTGATGGACAGGGAGGCCTGGCATGCTGCGATTCATGGGGTCGCAAAGAGTGGGACACGACTGAGCGACTGAACTGAATTGAACTGAACTGAAGAAAGGTGAATTCATCAAGTCATATAATTATAAACACATATTAATCAAGCAACAGAGCCCCAAAATATATGAAGCAAACATTTATAGAACTGAAAGGATAAATGGAGAGTTCTACAATAACAGTGGGAGATTTCAAAACTCAGCTTTCAATAATGTATAGTACACCTAGACAAAAGATCAATGAGTAAATACACAAGACTTGAACAACCCTAGAGTCAATTATTCTCACAAACATACAAAGAATTCTCCACTCAACAATAGAAGAATGCAGAGTCTTCTCCAGTGTACATATAACTTTTTCCATAGTAAACTATATGTGAAGTCATAAACAATTCTTGACAAATTGAAAAAAATAAAAATGATACAAACTATCTTTTCTGACCACAATAAAATGAGGCTAGAAATAAAAAATAGAATGAAAATTTACAAATGCATAAATGTAGAAAAATAAATCTGATAGCTCCACATGTAAAGACCCTGGAAGGTTCAACTCCATTCCTAATAACAAGTGAAAACTTGAACAGACTAAAACCAACAATTCTTTTAAGACTCCTAAGAGAGTTGAGCACAAAAGGAAAACCACTGCCCCCTAAATTAGAGAGGTTGAAAGGGAATCAGACTTACCAAAGAAGAGCTCACGAACAGAAATCACAATGAAATTCAGTGCTAGGGTAGGAAAGTCTGAATCATATTTGAGAAATTGCTAAAAGCTCAGTGTGGAAAACACTGAGAGAAGGATGACTCCACAGGATGACTGAGTCATCCAGGAGCTACCATAATTTTTGAAATTTATTCTAGGAGCTTGAGCAAATTCTGACAGTGCAACTGGAAAAAACTCCACTCATGTTTCCAGCAGAGGAAGGGCAAAAGGAAAAAATAATTAAATGAAGTATAGTTGATTTTTAAAACTGTGCTAGTTTTAGGTATACAGCAGAGGATATATGCTTTTTCGGATTCTTTTTTTTTTTTGGATTCTTTTCCATTATAGGTTTTTACAAGATATTGAATACAGTCCCTTGTGTTTTACAGTATATAGTAAATATATACAGTATATAGTAAATATATACAGTATATAGTATATATAGTAGTTGAGTATCTATTAATCCCATACTCCCATTTCATCACCCCCTTCCCTTTATTACCTAACCAAATAAGTTTGTTTACTATGTCTGAGTCTGTTTCTGTTTCATAAATAAGTTAACATATATATATATATATATATATTTAGATTCCACATATAAGTGATATCATATAATATTTGTCTTTCTCTGTCTTGCTTCACTTAGTATGATAATCTCGAGGCCCATCCATATTGCTCAAATGGCATTACTTAATTCATTTTTAATGGCTGAGTAATATTCCATTGAATATATATATAACATCCTATTTATCCATTCATCTGTTGATGAATACTTAGGCTGCTTTCATGTCTTGGCTACTGTAAACAGTGCTACTATGAACACTGGGGTGCATAACTTTTCAAATTATAGTGTTCTCTGGATGCATACCTAGGAGTGGGATTGCTGATCATATGAGAACTCTATTAATAGTTTTTAGAGAAACCTTCATACTGTTCCCCATAATGGCAGCACCAATTTACATTCACACCAATAGTGTAGGAGGGTTCCCTTTACTCCACATCCTCTCTACCATTTACTGCATGCATACCTCGTCACTCATTCATGTCCAACTCTTTGTGACTCTACAGACTACAGCCTGACAGACTCCTCTGACCATGGAATTATCCCAGCACGAATACTGGAGTGGGTTGCCACTTCCTTCTCCAGGGAATCTTCCTGACCTGGGATCAAACCCTACATCTCCCGTGGCTTCTGCATTGGCAGGCAGATTCTTTACCATTGAGCCATATTTGTAGACTTTCTGATGACAGCCACTCTGACCAGTGTGAAGTGACACCTCATTGTAGTTTTTATTTGTATTTCTCTAATAATTTGCACTTCCCTCACGGCTCAGATGGTAAAGAATCCACCTGCAACGCAAGAGTGGGTTCAATCCCTGGGTTGGGAAGAGCCCCTGGAGGATGGCATGGCAACCCACTCCAGTATTCTTGCCTGGAAAATTCCATGGATAGAGAAGTCTAGTGGGCTGCCAACTCCAGTCCATGGAGTTGTAAGAGTCGGACACAACTGAGTGAATGAGCATGCATGCACACATATATGTAAGGATACAATACCAAAAATATCAATTTTTACTTTATTTTTATAATACCAAAATATCAAAGCTCAACAACGAAGACAAGGAACCTAATTTTAAAGGGGCAAAGGACTTGAATAACAATATTTCTTCAAAGAAGAAATAAAAATGGATAATGACACATGAAATATATTCTAGATCATTGTTCATTAAGGAAATGCAAACTAAAGCCACAAAGAGAGATCACTTCACATTAACCAGACTAGCTTTAATAACTACAAGAAACTAGAAAATAAATAATGGTAATTACATGGGAAAATAGGAATGCTTTACATTGCTGGTAGGAATATAAATGCTTCAGTCACCATGGGAAAGTCTGCCTATTTCTCAAAATGTCAGACTTAAAATTACCATAGGCTTCATAGATTTCACTCCTAGGAATATACTCAACATAAATGAAAATATGTCCATGAAGAAATTTGTACACAAGTATTTGTGGCAACAGTGTTCATTCAGACCCAAAGGGAAACACCACCAATGTCCACAAATACATGAATGTATAAAAAGTCACGGTATGTATATTAAAATGGAATATCATGCAGCCATACAAGAGAGTAACAAATACTGATATATACTATAACTTAGGCAAGAATCCAAAACATTATACTAGATGAAGCCAAAACAAAAGGGGCAGTGCTATAAATTCTTTTATATGCTATATTCATGCACGCATGCTAAGTCGCTTCAGTCATGTCAGACTCTTTGTGACTCCATGGACTGTAGCCTGCTAAGCTCCACTATCCATGGGGTTCTCCAGGCAAGAATACTGGAGTGGGTTGCCATGCCCTCCTCCAAGGGATATTTCCAAACCAGGGATTGAACTCACATCTCTTATGTCTCCTGCACTGTCAGGAGGGTTCTTTACCCCTAGCACCACCTGAGTAGTCCCATACTATATTCATAACAAGCAAATCCATAGACATAAAGCAGAAAACAGTTTAACACATGATGGGGTGGAAGGAATGGAAAGTGATCATTTAATGGATATGGTATGTTTCTGGAGAGCAATAGGAAAGTTTTGAAATAAGAGAACTAGTGATCACACAACATTGTGAATGCAAGTATATACAACTAAATCATATACTTTAAAACAGTGAATTGCATGCTATATGAATTTCACCTATATTTTAAAATGATGTTACTCCATAAATCGATCAACAGATATCCTGCAATCCCTATAAAAATCACAAATTTCTTTGCATAAATTGACTAGTTTATCCTATAATTAACCCAAAAATTCAAAGCATTCAGAATAGCCAAAACACTTTTAAAAATTAACAACAAAATTAGAGGACTCACTGTTCTCAACTTCAAAACTAAATACAAAACTAATAATTAAGATGACCCGATGATATGCTACTAGTATAAGGACTGACATTTAGATTAATGGAATAGATGTCAGATTACACAAATAATCTAGGGCTTCCCTTGTAGTTCAGTCAGTAAAGAATCTGCCTGCAGTGCAGGAGACCCGGGTTCAATCCCTAGTTGGGAAGATCCCCTGGAGAAGGAAATGGCAACCCACTCCAGCATCCTTGCCTGGAAAATCTCATGGACAGAGGAGCCTGGTGGGTTGCAGTCCACAGGGTCGCAAAGAGTCGGGCACGGCTGAGTGACTAACACTTACTTACTTACACAAATAAAGGGTCATATTTTGAGTGCACTGATTTTTGACAAGGGGGCCAAGAGGGAAAAGGGGTGTCTTTTCAACACATGGTATAGCATTCATGCCCACAGACATATAATTCCAGCTCCATATCTATACCAATTCATTTTTACTTCACACTCAAAGTGCTCTCTTTCTTCCATCCATCACAGGCCTATGTATACTATATATAATATATACAGTATTCACCATCTAAAATTCCTTCCCCTGTCCTTCACTGCAAATATATTAGGATTTATTTCCAAACACTTGGTATGCAGGAAGCCCAGCTAGATTAAGCCATTCTTTTCCATTCCCTAATACAGTGTGTGCAATGATCATGTTCAACTTCATATTACCCCATGATATTTTGAATTTTCTAACTTGCTTCTAATTGTTTCCATTTCATCTGAGGTGTCATTCTGTACTTCTCTGTATGAAGATGACTAGTAGGTAAAGAGTAGAATCAACATATTCAACTAGTTTAACAATTAAACATTATATCTTCCATAATGCATACCACACATTTGGACATACATCATGTACTTAAAATGTTTGTCAACACTGCTGGCCAAACCACTGAAACATCACTGGTAAATTCAACAGCCCTAAAAATGCACAAGCAATCAAATAATCGAGCTGTCATTAACATTTTACCTGTTCCATCTTGATCAGGAAACAATCAATAAAGTCCTGAGGGTTGTTAATGTCCAGAGATGTTTGGTGTTCCCTTGTTTTCTCCAAAACATAACTTTTCAAACAAGCAAAATTTTCAAAGAATTTTTTATGTTTCCCTGGAATATAATCAATGAGAGCAGGGAAAGAACTGCAGAGCTAGAAAAAAAAATTGTTCATTAAAAGAAAACACTTAATGAAGATTTAAATATTATATGCCAAGCCCTGGCTAGAAGATGAATTATAAATATTAAAATAATTCAGTCACTGTATAGATGGGACTTTTTAACTTCACAAATGCACAGTTTTCTATGCTAATAGATGTATTTCAGGGAGAAAATTATAACCAGGGATCAAAGATGGTATTCATCTCCTATACTCATACATCATGTTTACAGTATAAAGGCATCTTTGTATCAATTCTTTCATTTTCTGCATCAGTTCTCCTCACAATTATGTAATAAGAGATAGCATGAAACACAATGATTTACCTTTTATAGATGATATCAGATTATGGGCTTTTAGGTAATCTGATATAGAAAACAAGCTGATCCCTGATATTTCTATTTCTGTTTAGTGGCTTCAATCATAAAATCGGTATTTTAGGACTAAAAGGGTCCTAAAGACACCATGAAGCACAACTCATCATTTTATGGATAAAGTAACTGGGAACCAGAGCAATTAAGTGACCTCTGTAAGGTCACACCATTGTCTTTTAGGCAGAGGACAGAACATTTAGCTCAGCACAGGGTACACCAGTGATGTTGGTTTGCGGTTCCTACACTAAAAAATAATCATTTTGTCATCCTCAAAGCAATTATTTTGTCAGTTAAGATACCAACTGAAGCATCAAACTCTCCTGTCATATTCAGTGTCCCCTGGGAGCCCCTTGAAGGAAATACTCTCTTTCTTCCCAAATAGATATTTCTGTCAGCTAACATGCTGAAGAATCCATGAGTAGAAATTGGGGAACAAGACTTGTGGGCAATAGAAGCCTTTCCAGTAGGACCTGGAAGTACTTCTACTGCTGTGGTCATGCTTTGGGGAAGTTACCAAAGTAGTTTACAGAAATTGGTCTTTGGATCTTGGTGGAAAAACCACTGAACAGGGTCAATGGGACTGAACTGCAGTTCTATATTCTGGGCATGTATTTTCCTGTCTATCATTTAAGGGCTCTGCAGTCATCCCCAGATGAGTACGCCATGATGCTAAGCTCTGGGCAGGACTGTGTTGTTCACACATTCACCTCACAGCTTGGTGCCCAGAGAGATCTGGATCTCATGGGGCAAAGAGCCAAAATGAATCCTTGAGAAGAAAGGACTTTGGCCTCACCTGCAGCCATGGAGAGCCCAGAATCCTGATGTTTTCATTCAGTCTTTCCATTAGATCTAGAAGAATCTGATCTTTATAATCGAAATGATTCCGGAAAATAATGGAGCAGATCACATTGCAGGGGGCACATCCCAGGATGAAAGTGGGATCACAGGGCGACCCTAAAGAATAACAAACAATTTGAACACACCATTAAAACATACGCAAGAGACACTTGGTGTTTGAGATAACAGGTAAAGGTAATTTTAGAAACTCTAAAGTGATATCTCATCAACAAATTCCTTTAAAAATAAATATTCAGCATGCATAAAATCAACACATCACTTTACCTTAACCTGAGTAGGATATTTCAGCACAGCTAGTTAAATAACAGGCTTTTACAAATATTCAATTCACTCCTCCCACCTTTACTTGTACCCTTTTCACTCAAGGTGCCTGTAAATTTGAAGGGAAAATGACAAGAACATCTAAAGAGGCCATTTTGTATGATTTGATAACGAAAGCTATCAATGTTCAATATCATCTGTCTGCAAATTAAGCACTGACAAAAAGAAAGAAAATTGTTAGGGAACACAAAATGAATAGTTGAAAAACTCATGTGCAGAATCAGGGAGGAAAAGCTAAAGTGAGAGAGAGAGACTGTAGTTGAAGTCATGCATTTGAAAGAATAAATGTAAGAAAACACAAAGTATCCATGCTATATGAGAAGAAAAACTAAGATACAAGTGAACAATTAACCAATTATTATAAATTGGATTTTTGTCTAATTTATATTAATAAAATGTAAAATTTTCATTTCAAATATAAATCCCTAGATAAGTGAAACAAAAAAAGTAACTTGGTGAGTGGAATTCCCTTAATTTTGTTTCCATGTTTAAAATTTCTTCTTTTTTAAGAATTAATGTCCCTCATTTACCATGGCCATTAAAATTAATACATTTAGAATTAATACTAGAGAGGATCTGGAGAAAAGGAAACACTCCTATACTGTTGGTGGGAATATAAATTGATGGAACCACTATAGAGAACGGTATGGAGCTTCCTTAAAAAACTAAAAATAGAGCTACCATATGATTCAGCAATCCCACTCCTGGGAGTATATTCAGAAAAGTTAAAAACTCTAATTCAAAAAGATACATGCATCCCGATTTCATGTCAGCACTATTTATAATAGCCAAGACAAGGAAACTAGAGAAGGCAACGGCAACCCACTCCAATATTCGTGCCTGGAGAATCCCATGGAAAGAGGAGTCGGGTGGGCTATGGTCCGTGAGGTCACAAAAGGTCAGACACTACTGAAGTGACTTGGCACAAGACATGGAAACAACCTAAATGTCCATCGGCAGATGCCTGGATGCCCAAGATGTGAAACACACACACACACACACGTAATGAATATTGTTGTGTTGTCTAGTCTCTAAATCATGTCTGATTCTTTGTGACCCCGGGACTATAGTCTGCCAGGCCCCTCTGTCCATGGGATTTTCCAGACAGGAATACTGGGGTGGGTTTCCATTTGCTTCTCAAGGAGATCTTTCTAATCCAAGAATTGAACCCACATCTCCTGCATTGGCTGGCAGATTCTTTACCACTAATGTCACCAGAAAACCCCCAATAAATATTACTCAGTCATTAAAATAAAGAAATAATGCCATTTTCAGCAATATTAAATTATTATATTGAGTGAAGTAAGCCAGAGAAGATAACTATCACATGATATTGCTTATAGTATGTGAACTGAGAACTTCTAGATGTACCTGCTGGATTTAGAAAAGGCAGAGGAATGAGAAATCAAATTGCCAACATCTGTTGTATTATAGAAAAAGCAACGGACTTCCAGAAAAACATCTAATTTGCCTCATTGACTACACTAAAGCCTTTGACTGTGTGGATCACAACAAACTGTGGAAAATTCTTAAAGACATGGGAATACCAGACCACCTTACCTGCCTCCCAAGAAACCTGCATGCAGGTCAAGAAGCAACAGTTAGAACCAGACATGGAACAACAGGCTGGTTTCAAATTGGAAAAGGAGTATGTCAAAGTTGTACATTGTCACCCTGCTTATTTAACTTATATGCAAAGTACATCATGTGAAATGCCAAGCTGGATGAAGCACAAGCTAGAATCAAGATGCCAGGAGAAATATCAATCAATTCAGTTCAGGTCAGTTGCTCAGTCCTGTCCTGCTCCTCTGTGACCCCATGGGCTGTAGCATGCCAGGCTTCCCTGTCCATCACCAACTCCTGGAGTTTGCTCAAAGTCACCTCCATCAGGTCAGTGATGCCATCCAATCATCTTATCCTCTGTTGTCCCCTTCTCCTCCTGTCATCAATCTTTCCCAGCATCAGGGTCTTTCCAAAGAGTCAGTTCTTCACATCAGGTAACTAACGTATTAGAGCTTTAGCATGAATGCTTCCAATGAATACTGAGGACTGATTTCCTTTTAGCATTGACTGGTTTGATCTCCTTGCTATTTAAGGGACTTTCAAGAGTCTTTTCCAAGACCAAAGTTCAAAAGCATCAATTCTTCATCACTCAGCTTTCTTTATGGTCCAACTCTCACATCTGTACATGACTACTGGAAAAACCATAGCTGTGACTATCTGAACCTTTGTTGGCAAAGTGATGTCTCTGCTTTTTAATGTGCTGTCTAGATTTGTCATATCTTTTCTTCCAAGGAGCAAGCGTCTTTTAATTTCATGGCTTCAGTCACCATCTGCAGTGACTCTGGAGCCCAAGAAAATAAAGTCTGTCACTGTTTCCACTGTTTCCCGATCTATTTGCCATGAAGTGATAGGGGGTGGGGGGAAATGCCATGATCTTAGTTTTTTTTTGGAATGTTAAGTGTTAATCCAGCTTTTTCTTTTTTTCCATTTATTTTATTAGTTGGAGGCTAACTACTTTTTGGACTCTGTGGGAGAAGGCGAGGGTGGGATGATCTGAGAGAATAAGCCAGCTTTTCCATGCTTCTCTTTCACTTTCATCAAGAGACTCTTTAGTTCTTCGCTTTCTGCCATAAGGGTGGTGTCATCTGCATATCTGAGGTTATTGATATTTCTACCAAAATGGTGACTTCTACCTATTAACTTTAGGCTGCCCAAAGTTATGCTGAGCCAACAGCTTCCTCTAAACATACCCTGTGACACAGCTCTGCCCACAAGAGGGACAAGACCCAGCTACACCCACCAATGAGCAGGTTTCAGTCCCACCCACCAGGAAGCCTGCACAGCTCCAGGACTAATCTCAAGCACCAAGGGGCAGACAAGCTAGAAGAACTACAGTCCTGCAGCCTGTGGAACAGAGACCACAGACACAGGAATTCAGACAAAATGAGATGGCAAAGAAATATATTCCAGACTGTACATTTGTTGCTGCTGCTGCTAAGTCACTTCAGTCGTGTCCGACTCTGTGCAACCCCTTAGATGGCAGCCCACCAGGCTCCACCGTCCCTGGGATTCTCCAGGCAAGAACACTGGAGTGGGTTACTAAAATCCAAAGAAGATGGGGCAAAATTTACAAACTGAAAACAGAATCAAATTCTACCTGGAGAAGACAAGATAAGCAGGTGTTGCTAAGGTAAAAATTTAGTTAAATAAATATTTCATGTCTTGGTTCTAAATAGGAAAAGGAGTACATCAAGGCTGCATATTGTCATCCTGCTTATTTAAATTATACGCAGAGTACATCAAGAGAAACGTTGGGCTGGATAAAGCACAGGCTGGAATCAAGATTGCCAGGAGAAATATCAATAACCTCAGATATGTAGATGACACTGCCTTTATGGCAGAAAGTGAAGAAGACCGAAAGAGCTTCTTGATGAAAGTGAAAGACGAGAGTGAAAAAGTTGGCTTAAAGCTCAACATTCAGGAAACTAATTACATGGCATCTGGTCCCATCACTTCATGGTAAATAGATGTGGAAACAGTGGAAACAGTGGCTGACTTTATTTTTTGGGCCCTCCAAAATCACTGCAGATGGTGATTGCAGCCATGAAATTAAAAGACACTTACTCCTTGGAAGGACAGTTATGACCAAACTAGACAGTATATTAAAAAGCAGAGACATTGCTTTACCAACAAAGGTCCGTCTACTCAAGGCTATGGTTTTTCCAGTGGTCATGTATGGATGTGAGAGTTGGACTATAAAGAAAGCTGAGCACAGAAGAATTGATGCTTTTGAACTGTGGTGTTGGAGAAGATTCTTGAGAGTCCCTTGGACTGCAAGGAGATCCAACCAATCCATCCTAAAGGAGACAGTCCTGGGTGTTCATTGGAAGGACTGATGTTGAAGCTGAAACTCCAATAGTTTGGCCACCTGATGCGAAGAGCTGACTCATTTGAAAAGACCCTGATGCTGGGAAAGATTGAGGGCAGGAGGAGAAGGGGATGACAGAGGATGAGATGGTTGGATGGCATCACCGACTTGGACATGGGTTTGGGTGGTCTCCGGGATGGACAGGGAGGCCTGGTGTGCTACGGTTCATGGTGTCGCAAAGAGTCGGACATGACTAAGAGACTGAACTCAACTGAACTGACTTGGTATATGTGTGTTTTAACAGAATTAAGATGTAGCATACATTTATTTAAAATATAAAAATCAGTACAATTAGTATTGAATAACAAGAAATAATGAATGCTGATACTTTTTAAAGACTGCTGTCTTTTCAAAGAAAGCATAATTGATGAGAATTGCACTAAGATATACCAAGACGATTAAAACCATAGATGGTATTACTATTGGCCAGAATTGTAGGCCTGGGCCCTGGAAGTAACTCTCAAAATTGTCTGTAAGGCTGAATATATAAATATAGTCCACTTAAGTGAACACATGTGTTACTTGTTTCATGTCCCATAATGGTCATTCCCACCCTATCCAATTAACAAGTATTCCCTGGTAAAATATTCCAGAATAGACAACCACATTATCTCTACCCTTCTCTGTTCTTTAATATTTTTAGGAAATGACTCAAAACTATGTTTTGTGGTTTCTGGTTTGAAAACAAAAAGTTTAGGAGATAATTTGATTAAATGGTCTTTATACCCACACTGCGTGCACAGTCATGGGAGTACACACACAATAAGCACAGATACACAAAAGCTCCTTGGCTGCCTATGCTTTATAACCCCCTCCCCCCATCTGAGGGCTGACAGCCAATACCCATATGAAAGATGCGGCCTTCCCTGAAATATTTCCAAGGATGTCACTGGAGAGAGAGCAGCCTGTTAAGGTCAGAGTTAAGAGAAAATAGAATCACCCACCGTTGGTTTTTCTCAACTCCTCCACAAGGCAGCGTGCTTCCTCTTGAACACGGTCCTCAATGCTTCTCTTCCCCATCCCGAAATTCCTCAGGGTCATGAGGGAGAAGCGCCGGGTCTCCTTCCATATCTTGCCATTGCTGAAAGCGATTCCTACCAGGGAGGGAAACAGAAACTAGGAAGGAAGTTCTAGGGAAGGAGGAGTGAGCTGACACATGGCAGCCTCAGAGAGGGACCACGATCTGCTGCGGGGCCACAGTGCGGGGGCGGGGGGCGGCGTTTTCAAATTCCTCTTTTCCATCCTCCCCACTCCTACCCTTTGCCAATGCTGAACACCCACACATACACACCTACCGTATCCCTTAGTAGCTCTTTGAAACACTGGGTAACTACCTCTTCTAGAAAACTCCTCTCCCAAGTCAATCAGAGCTTCCTTCACTACTTCATATCCATGCAAGACCACCATGGGCTTCATGCCAAAATACAGAGTGAACACAGGGCCGTAGATTTTTGAGAGCTGGGAATGAAGAGGCATGTAACAGCAAAAGAAGTCAATATGAGATACTATGCTGTGCCTGATGCAGAATGTATTATCATCCTGCTATTATGTTTTTATTCTGCCAGAGACAACCTCATTATGTATTAAATTCAGAACTTAATGCATAAATATGGTGGTAATTGTTATAGGTTCTACTTACAGATGACCTGAAATGCTGGGTAATGGCCCAAGTAGCTGGTGCACAGATTATAATTAATCCTCAGATCAGCACTTTCAGTGGGTTTATTTTCCCCACTATAAATAAGGAAACTTAGGTTGCAGAATTCTGTTCCATGTCCAGCACCCCAGGGCTAATATGTAGACGATTCAAATTTGAAGATCATAGTCACCCTCTGATCCTTGAGAGCAATGTAGCAATCCTCAAGGCCCACCTTTTGGACCAACAGCCAGCTCACTGCTTCAGAATCACCCATGGAGCAGTCATCGGAATTCTGATTCTGTAGCCCTATGATGAATACTAGAAATTTATAATTTAAAAAATAAGTTCATATAACTCTAATGCCCAGCCTAGTTTGAGATCCTCTGGTATCACTAACACAGAAAGAGAGGAAGCATCATAGAGGCAGTGCCAGGACATGCAGCATCTCATAGAAGAACACTTTCTATGCGGCAGCATTCACAGGGTACAGATGGCAGTTTCCTGCAGAATCCAAATGAATGCTGCTGCCACCAGTGGGACCCTAACTGATGACTTGTTTCTTTCATTCCCCCATGATCATCCTAATCCTAAATTAATTCCTTAACACCAGGCACAATGCCCTTCTTCAGAAAAGTTCTATTTTCCTGGTCATTTGAACAAAACACACAACTTATATAGTCAATGATTTCAGGAAAGAAATTGCTAATCACATGCTGAAGCTGAAGCTCCAGTACTTTGTTTGGCTACCTGATGTGAAGAGCCAACTCATTAGAAAAGACTCTGATGCTGGGGAAGATTGAAGGCAGGAGAAGAGGACCACAGAAGACGAGATAGCTGGATGGCATCACTGACTTCAATGGACTTGAGTTTGAGCAAGCTCTGGGAGGTGGTAAAGGACAGGGAAGCCTGGCGTGCTACAGTCCATGGGGTCACAAAGAGTCAGACACAACTGAGCAACTGATCAACAATATAGTAAATTATTTCTGGAAAGAAATCACTAATCACAAAACATTTCACTTACCCTTTACATTCAGTCCCATGTGAAATAAAAAAAAGGAGGCAACACTCCCAGCTTTTAAAACTTAATGATTTTGATTCTACCTTACAAAGACATAAACGCTTCTCTACTCACAAAACACATTAATTTGTTCCTCTATTTATGATAATAACAGGCCTGAAAAGGCAAGAAAAATATCAAATTTACAGGGAGTAATTTGCTTCAAACTGACCTGCTTTAACAGTGCGCTCATAAGAATATATATTATTTTTTAAATTGGGCTTATTTTACTTACCTTTTATAAGACACTGGAGGAACGTAAAACCTACTTACCTTGGTTAAAGATTTGCTGATGTCCTTAACATCTAACTGTAGGATGTTTCCAAGAATCGGGAGAGGAGTGGGGCCCAGCGGGAGCTTCCCATTCCCAGAGCTCTATTTCCAGAGTGACAGGAGAAGCAGACAGGAGAGACAGAGCACCAGGGCCACAGCCAGATCCATTGATGCCTTCTCTTCTTACTCAGACGACTGTGAGCCTGAAATCGAGAGCTTTTGTAACAGGCCCTGCTAATTCAACTTGGGCCTCTCTGAGAAATAAAGATACCATTCAATCACATCCACTTTGTACTCTATTCTGAATGGACTTTGGCCATTGATAAAGATAAAATTAAAGTGTCCCTTTAGTCTTGTTTTCCTTCTGTTCAATAACAACTGTAGAGACTGTCATTTAATTGCACATAAATTGCATTTAATTGCACAACAACAACAAAAAAGTATTTCCATTGTGCAGCCAAGAATTAGAACCACTAAAATAAATAACTTGATGCCCCAAACAGCTCAAAACTCTGGATTCTAGTCAATGACCAGTTGCAAATGTATGACTTTGAGGGAAATCTGTGTATTCTGTGCCTTTTTTTATTTAAAAAAAAAATTATCTTGTAATGCAATATAGGATAATTTGTCCTTGAAAATGTATGTGTTTAAAAATTTTAATGTAATGCACTACCATTACAGTTATAAAAAATAGTTAATTATGACATATTTAAGATAGTTTAAAAATCAGAATAGAGTAACTATGGTTCTGGCATCCAAAATGAAGTTCGGTGGTCATTGTGGGTGTGGTTTTTAGACATAACTGTTCCTGTATCACTGAGAACTTGAATTCTTTTCTGTGTCAAACTCAAGGACTCCACCAACCATTTTCACAACAATATATGTTAGCAGGTACTCGCTACAATTTTGTATTTTCAAAGTCCTCTCCAGACTCTCCTCCCTCTGATCCCCGATCCCTGCATCCACTGCTTCACAACGCTGTAACCATTTCTAAGTCCAACCAATTTTGCTTACAAGCATCCTAACCTCTTGCCATCTACAAGTCTCAGTTCAGTTCAGTTCAGTCTCTCAGTCGTGTCCGACTTTGCAAACCCATGAACCGCAGCACAAGTCTAGTTCTTGACAAAAACTTCACCTACTCTTGTGGTTTCTTGTCTTTATTAAATTCCCCATTTTGTAGCCTAGAAGAACATAATTTAAGACCTTCTTGGATCTGTGCTTCCTGGGCTACAGTCCTATCAAGGTCCAAATAAACACCTCTTGATTTTAACCAGATCGTCATTCTTGGAATTCATGCTTAACATTAATATAATTCAAACCTCTTAAATGACCAAAGACATATATACAGTAATTATCTAAGTAAATTTACATGATTTTTACCTTGAAATCTCACATCTACTTTAGCAAAAAAAAAAAAAAAGGAAGGTAGAGATATAGTAATTTGATATTTTTTATATGAGGGAAAAGGTGATTCTGAGATAAGAGAACTGTCCAGCATCACAAGGCTCATAATAAATAAAATTAGGATTTAAACTGAGATCTTCTGACTCCCATTGTGATGCATTCTCATATATACCTCAGCTGCCTCAAGAACAATTTTCGAAAAACAAAACCAAATAGCCTAAAATATTACTCTGAATATGCACCCCACTGATTGTTCATTGATTGTTCATAAATGACAGGCATCACAGGATACGCATGTCCCTGGACTTCGAGGGGAAAAGTCACAGATTCTTAAGACAAGAAATTCCAAAAAGATATTCACCCTTCTCCAACATCAAAGAGCAAAACTTGCTCAGGCAATGGAGGGAATAGACAGTCTCAAGAATTTAGTGGGGAAGGCTTGAGAAACTATGACTCAAGCCTCCTACTTGCCTCGAGACACAATTGTTTCTGTTGCCTTTTGGAGTCTGTCTTTGTCAGAAATAATGAAATTAAGAATACACGGAAAATGCAGACTTGACTGATATAAAAAGGTGCTTATTGGGAGTTTGTTAGGACTGCAGCCCAAGAGACAGAGATTCAAGAAACAACTGAATCACACTCTGCTGGACTACAAAAATGTGGAGGCTTATGAGGGCAAAATTCACAAAATTACAAAAAGTGTTTGTCAAGAATCACTGTTGGAGCTGGCAAGTAAGGGCTCCTATTAAGTAATCGTTAGCTGGGGTCCAAAATGGTTGCAGTTACAATGGGAGACCTTGCGAATATAAGGATGCAGCTGGTTAAGTGTTTCCTGAATAGGGATAGTCCTGTCCTTGGGTCTGGTACAGGTCAAAGAAACAAGTTCTCAGAGGTGCAGAGACAACCCTGAGACTGGATCCTCAATGGCCTGCTGACTCCATTTTTGTATGTCTGAACTGTGATTACTCCATTATAATTCCAATTTGTCATCAAGAGCAAGGAAGATTTTACACAGAACAACAAGTGTGGATTCAGTGGAGGATCAGGGGCATAGACTTCATTAAACAGACCCTCAGCCCAGAACCACCAGTACATGCAGATCCAAACAGTAGACAGTTAGTTGTCATGATGATCTAAATATCACTGGAGGGGGAAACATCACTAGATCACTAATAGCAGTCCTTTACAATCACATATTCTACAAAGATATCATGTTTTTTTAGATGGACTAGAGCAGTTATTTCTAAGATCATTTTGCAGGGAGAAATAAGTTTTTGTCCAGACCCAATTACAAAATTTTTTTAAAATTTTAAAATTTTTAAAAATTTTATTTTATATTGGAGTATAGTTGAGTATATTGTTTATATTGGAGTATATATAACTACTGTATAAACTACTCCAATAGTTTATATGGAGTATATTGGAGTATAGTTGATTTACAGTGTTGTGTTAAGTTCAGGTGTACTGCTACTGCTAAGTCGCTTCAGTCGTGTCCGACTCTGCGACCCCATAGACGGCAGCCCACCAGGCTCCCCCATCCCTGGGATTCTCCAGGCAAGAACACTGGAGTGGGTGCCATTGTCTTCTCTGTCAGCTATAACAGCAAAGTGATTTCGTTATACACATACCTATTTTTTTTTCATATTATTTTTCCATATAGGTTACTATAGAATACTGAGTAGAGTTCCTTGTCTTATACAGTAGGTCCTTGTTTACTATCT